CCGGCCTTTTTTGGAAATAAATGAAGCAAAAAAACAAGAGGAAAAACAAGTTTTTTGTTTTTCAGTTCCCTTTCTTGGTTCAAGCTAATAAGTAAACCGCACAGTGTGTGATCAGCAGCGCTTTTCCTCCTTTTCCTCCCCAAAATTATATTTTTATTTCGGCCATTTCTCTTTATTTTATTTTTGGAAGATGAAGGGAAGGAGAGGAGAAACAAATGTATGTATTCGCCCTTTGATTCATTTAACTCGTTAATGAATAAAGAAGAGAGAGGAAGGAGATTACGGCTGAATGACGGTTCCACAATCAAATTATTTTTTTTAATTTTTTTTCTCCATCAATTTATCCATTATTTTTGTTTTTTTCAAGGACGATTAAACAATTTTTTTAATTAAAAAAATATTTTTGGGTAAAAAGACCTAATTATTTTTATTTTTTAGATATTTGACGGTGTGAAATTTAATAAAGATTTATAGAACAAAAGTATATATTGTTTAATAATTACTTGATTGGGAGAGGGGAAAAGTGAATCTTCTGAAAATAAAAGCATTTTATTGCTCTCCAAAAAATTATTATTTTATTAAAATTAATTTTAAATAAAAAATTTATTTTTTAATTAAAAATTGGAAATAATTAAATATTAAAATATACGAAAATACGACGGATAAAAGCGAAAATAATAAAAATGAAAATTTTAAAAAATCGAACCCTTGAAAGGATTTAATTATTAGAGGTTGAATGCTGAAATTTTTTTACTATTTTAGATCTTTAAAAAAATGAAAATCAAAATATTGATAGAATTCGTGAAAATTTTCCTAGAAAATGCCTACAAACTGAAGAGAATAATGAACATAAAAAATTAAAAATTAATTATTTTTAAAAACTCAAACCAAGATAAAAATTTGTTTTTGAACGTTATATTTTCTAATTTTTAAATATTAAAAATTGGATGGATTATATGTTCAGTACTAGACCGAAATGACGAATTGGAGATTTTCTGTTATTTACAAAATATCCTAAAAAATTTTCCAAAAACCAATTAAATTCTAATTAAAAAATAAATTTTTTTCCTTTATAGTTTAATGAATAAAATATTTTTTTAATTTATTTAATTCAAAATAAATTTAATAAAATTTCCTTTTCTTTTTTAAGTCAATATATCCATCCATTAATCAACTATCCATTTTCTATGTTTCTTGTTTTTCCCCATTTTTTTAAAATTTCCCACGTCGTTTATTTAAATGTCCAATTTTTTGTGTCTTTTTAGCTTTTTATGTTTTTATTTGTTTTCATTTTTAAACAAAAAATTTTTTTTAATTTATCAACCTTTGTTGGGGATTTTTATCAGCCTTTGTTGGGGATGTTTTTATGTTACTCCTAGAAATTATTTTTATGGACAATGCGGATATACGATTTTAGAAATTATTAAAGTGAGAGTTGCTTTACACTGTTGACTAGACTTTACACTGTTGACTAGTGTTCGGCAAATGACCTTTTCCGGTATTCGGTATCGGTATACCGAAAAAATACCGATACCGGAAAATACCGTTTTTTTCAAAATTTGACCGGTACGGTATCGGTATCGGTATACCGGAAAAATACCGATACCGGAAAATACCGTCTCAACATTTTCGGTATACCGGCCGGTATTCGGTATTTTTTTAAAAATTTTATAAAATTTTTTAAATTTTATTTTTAAAATTTTAACAATAAATCTTAACAATCTCAAGGACTTGAGCTTCTTCTAATCGATCATAGGCAAGATTTGAATCAGCAAAATGTCCAACAATTGCTCGACATTTAGCTAATTGAAAAATACAATGCCCCCTCCATTAGAATACCCTGCTTTAATAGGATGTCCCCTGGAGGATGATTGAAAATTACTATGCCCCCACCATTAGAATACCCTCTTTTAATAGAATGCCCCAGAGGGATAATTGAAAAATACAATGCCCCCTCTAATAGAATGTCCCTATATATATCCTTTTTCAGCGCCGCAGGCGAAAATTTTGAGAATTTTGGAAGACCAGAAGACAGATTTCTTCCTTTTTCAGCGCCGCAGGCGAAAATTTTGAGAATTTCACAAATACCGAAATACCGGAAAATACCGCGGTATTTTTTCGAGGACCGGTACGGTATCGGTATCGGTATACCGAAAAAATACCGATACCGAAAAATACCGTTTTTTTCAAAATTTGACCGGTACGGTATCGATATCGGTATACCGGAAAAAAATACCGCGGTATACCGGGAAAAATACCGCGGTATACCGTACCGTGCCGAACACTACTGTTGACTAGACTTTACACTGTTGACGGACTGGGAATGGACTCGAACTGGGAGTCGATATCGGGATCTCGAAAAATTCTCGATCTCAATAACCTAGCTTTTCGATCGAAATCTCGACTCGGCTCGATCTCTAATGTTGACTGTCTTGTTTCCAAATCCTAACAGTTTCTGAATGATTTTTTGGATTGACACGAAGCTGTAAGCTTCAATAAATCTCTCATTTTTTTTAACATACTATTCTCAATTATCGTATCGTCGACTTTAATAATAAAATTAATTATTATTTAACACTAAACTAATATTTATTTTTATTTTTTTTCACAAAAAAAAACAATTATTTGCATGCCAACAATCCATCACAAGAGACTCTCTAAAATTTCTTTTTTATTCTTTTCAAAATTCCCTCAATTAGTCAATTCTTCCAAAAACAAAAAATGGCTTAAATTGCCTTTAAAATATTTTTTAAAAATATTTTTAGTAAAATAATTTATCAAAAACTAAAAATCTAATACCTTATTCTATAAAAATATTTAGTCTATATTTTTACTTTTTTCTTGAATTTATTTTTCATTCATGATATATACGTATAATTATTTGAAAGTTTTAATTATTAGACCACACACATATTTGCCTTAAAATCTTTTCTTCTCCAAGTTTTCTAATGCAGTCGGATATTTATACCAGGGATGGATAATTTTAAATTTTAAAAAGCAGGAGCGAAAGGGCCAAAAAAAGGCGGAATTCGCTGGATGACAAAAGGCGGAAGAAGCTGAAGAAAATCCATCCCTGATATAAATAGGTATACCTAAGTAATCCCATTAATGTATACCAAGTCACTTTAGTGTGCTTATTTTTGGTTTGGGGAGATATATCTAACGATACCCTCTATTTTAATTTTAGTTTACAACTCATTTTAATGTACCTATTTTTCAATCCCTAGGGTGTACACGTTAATGTCCAGAATTTAAAAAAGTTAAAAGATAAAAAGAGAGAGTTTAAAAGTTTCGATAATTCTTTAATAGTTGATAGAACAAAAATGGTTGGGAGCAGCCTTGTTTCGAAGAACTTCGACTCCCCTCTTTATTTTTAACACCTTTTACATTCTTAGAAATAAAAGACAGAATTTCAACAAATATTAGAAAAAAGATTAAAAAATAATTTAGTTAATTAACAATAAGAAAAAACGAAGAAATTATAAAATTTAAAAGAATAAATTTGCGAAAAAAAATTGTAGAAAATAATTTATAAAAAGAATACAAAAGTCCATTAATTTAACCTAAAAAAGGAAAAAAATCTTTTCTTAAAAATCTACATAAAAACTCTACTATTTTTATATCCTCTCTTTTATTTTATAATTTACATCATTTATTCCCGGTTCATTCACTCAAAAAAATTCATTCATCTTCTTACAAAAAAATTTCATTCGTTCCTTGGTTTTTGTCTTTAATATTTTTAAGAAGTTGCCAAGTATTCACTTTTTTTACTCTCTTGGGGGAAGCATGAAAAATTGGAAGAAAATATTTCAAACAAAGAGGAACATTTTAGGAAAATGTAACAGATATTGCCACCTTTCTTTTTTAAATAAACAAAAAATTGTTTGGGCGCAGCGTCTTTTTTATCAGTATTTGAGACCTTTTTTTGAGACCGAAAGATCTTGAACAAAAATGCTGTACTATCAAGATTAATATTTTTTTCGAGATTGTTCGAGAATCGATATTTTCGTACCTTCCCAGTTCGGTTTCTAATTTATACCCACTTAACAATGACTTTAAAAATTGAAATTTTCTATAAATATTTCTAATATTATTAACCGTTTTTTATATAAATTTTAAAATTTTTGGATGGTTATGTCAAAAGTTATGACAAAAATTGAAAAAAAATTGAAAAAACAAAATTTGCCAAAAGCATCATTTTTAACGAAATTTTGATAATTTGTCATAAGGGCTTTAATTCTCAACTAGAAATTTTATAATTTTTAATTGAGCTAGTTAACTTAATTTAGAATATTTTTATAAAATTCCATGTTCTAGGCTTTAATTAACTATAAATTTTAACAAATTTTACCAAACTACGCCTTAATAGTCTGCGTCAAAAACTCAGCTTCGTTGTAATAGGAGAACAATGGAAGGAATGAAATATCCATTTGTTTTTAAAATATTTTGGCACTTTCTGAAAAACCCTCTTTTATATTTTTGTTATTTTTAACGTGTGAATTGTTTCTATTTTTGTAGATATATAAATTTATAAATGTTTTATAAATTAATAAATTTAATAAAAACCCTTCAAAATTTACTAACAACAAAAACTTTCTTTTATTTACGATATTTCCTTCGTATTTTCTTTTTGCTCAACTTGAACATTTATTTAATACCGACAGTAAGTTATTCAACCAGAAAAAATTTTTATTTAGTCAGAGCAGTGTTTGGATTTTGAAATTTGCTCGTACTCGTACACAAGTACGAGTCGAGTACGAATTTTGGTACGAGCTTCCAAACACTGGTTGTTACCATAATCGGCAAATTGTTTTCCTTTTAATAAGACTACCTAATCCCTTTAAAGCCCATCTAAAGCCCCTCTAAAGCCATTATTCTATATCCCCAATAAAAGCTGAGGAAAAGGACCTCTTCAATCATTTTTGGGATTTTTTATAGAGAAACAAGGATTTTTATTGGAGAATACTTCTGTCTAGGTTTAAAAATTGATTTTGGATCGAATGGTTTAAATCTAGATTAAAGACTTCTGGAAACAAAATATTCTAAATATTGCAAAAAAAAGCTCCAACTTTTTTATTCAAAATAAAATCGAGATTTAAATATCAATCTTGTAAAAAAATAAAAATAACCCCTAAAATAAATTTTAAAAAAATTGTATTTTTCAAAAAATTAAATTTTCTTCTAGTTATCCCAAGTTTTATCTTCACCTTCTTCACCAATTCCCTCAACACACCCACCACTACCACCACCAACAACACCTACTATACCAAAACAAAGAGAATTACTTGAATATTTATTTAAATTTTATAGAAAAGAATTACGTCCAGTAATTAATGAAAGTACAGTTACTGAAGTTGCTGTTCAATTATATTTTAAACAAATACAAAAAGTTAGGGAAAATGATCAAATAATTACTGTTTATTGTTGGTTAGAAGAGGTGTTTATTTTATACATAAGTTAACAATTTGTGATCGAACTGGACGAGATCTCAAATAAATATCACTGTTGTTTAGATAAAAAATTTTCACTACCGGTATCCTAATAGAAGCCCAACCCTAATAGAAGCCCACCCAATGAGGGATATTGGAAAATAGAAGTCCAGGGCTTCTATTAGGATATTTACGGTATATCAATCTGATTCCTATGCATCCTCTAAATAATACTTTTTCCATTGATCTTTTATTTTTTAAAGAGATAGAACATTTAAAAATTAATTATTTAACACCTACCTAATTTAACAAATTTTCCCTCTAAAAAATAAAATATAAAATAAAAATTTAAAGTATTGGACCGATGAATTTCTTCGTTGGGATCCTTCAACCTTTGGAGGAATTAAACAATTACATATTCCTGCAGAAATGATTTGGCGTCCAGATTTACTTGTTTACAATAAGTTTTTTTGAGAGAATTTTTTTGATTAATAATTTTAAAAAATAATTAAAGTGCAAATATGAATGTACACGAAAGCGAAATGATGACAAATGCTTTAGTTCAACACGATGGGCGTGTGTCTCTTTTTCGCGCTGTGGTAGAATAATTTTCAGAAATTTTTTGAAATTTTTCAAAAAATATTTTTTAGATAACTGGGATAAGTTGTCATCTAAATTTGGTTTAGTTAATTTAAAAATTTGAGGAAAAAAAATATTTTATTTTATAGCATAGATTCCCTTTCGATCAACAAATTTGTTATTTAATGTTAGCTTCGTGGAGTTATGATGGATCACAAGTAAATGACCCTCCTCCCATAACTTTCAATTGAAAATTTCCTCACGATAATCAATTATCCATTATAAAGTCACATATTCTGGACCTGTCCAGGATCGTCCAATAAAATAAATTTAATACTAAAAAATAAGGTAATGGTTCGCCCTGCTGGTGATGACCAAACAAACCAATCTGCTGGATTAAATAGAAATAGTCAAATGAATTTATCTTCCCATCATCACCAATCTTCTTCTTCTTCCTCCTCCTCCTCCTCCTCAAATTCTGGACAAAATAATTATTTTATGAAATCAGCATCTTTAACCCATTATATTCCAAATATGGAATGGAGTTGGGTTTTAATAATTATTTTTTAAATTAAATTAATTTTAAAGTGTTAATTGACTTTAAAACACGCTCAAATTTAAAGTAGGTTTAATTAATTTGCTTGATTGGGTATTTTAAAATTGTCAAAAATTAAAAATATTTTTAGTTAAATATTTCAGAAAATAGTTTAAACTGCTTTTTAAGATTAATCAGTAAATTTTCGGTTATACATTTAAATATTTTTAACTAAAAATTCGGTAAATTTTAGCCAAGGTAGCCAATACTTCCAAAAATTTAACTGTAGACAAATTTATGACTCTTGATTCTCTTAGTTTTTTCCTCTTAAATAATTTTTTCTCAATTAGAATGTATGATTGTTGTCCAAATCCTTATCCAGATATTTGCTACTATTTTTCAATTAAACGAAATCCTTCCTACTATTTATTTACTTTAATAATGCCTTCAGCTTTAATTACAACAATTACGGTTGTTGGATTTTTTACAACACATTCCAGTACTGGAGAGAATACTGAAAAGGTGTGGAAATAAATAAATTTTCTTTTTTTGTTAAACAATTAAGAAAGGAATATAGAATTTAATCCCACCATTTCTTTTTAATTTTTACCTCACAGTAAAGTATGGTGTTGTCCACCGGCCCAGGGGGTCGGTGGACAACACTTAGGCTAAAATCACTTTTAATTACTCCATTTTAATTACTCGTCTCATTATAAGGGAATTTTTTTAATCTAAAATAAACCATTTTAAAAGGCAATCAAGAAAATATTTTTAATTTTTAAGGTTAGCCTTGGAGTAACATCACTGCTTTCACTTGCTTTAATCCGTAAATTTGCATTTATTCCTTTATTTATTTTCTAATAAATTTAATTAAAGTTATGATGGTTTCTGACAAATTACCAGCAACTTCAGATACTGTCCCTGTACTTGGTCAGTATTATATTGGTCGGTTAATTAATTAAAATATTTTTAAGAATTTATATCTTTATAGGGCTAATATGTATTCAATTTACTGCTACATACATTACTACATGGACACTTGTAAAAAATATTTTAAAAAATTGGGGAAAAAATTAATTTCATTTTAGCATTTACAAACAAATGGAAATTCGGGGAGAGCTTTACCTAGACGTTTACGTCATTGGCTGTTGGGGGCAAACCCTCGAAATAATAATTTATTTATGAAGCATTTACTTGGAAGAGAATTGACAACTATGCAACAAAGTGTTAGGCATCGGATTAAGCGATTTGTAAATGATTTTTTGTTTATTATTAAGGATTAAACACTAAAGATTACATGAATTTTTTTTTAAAAGAACTATTATAACATAAGAATTTTATCGAAAATTTTAACAAAAACGTGTCTAATATAGCAGAAAATTACCGTGATTTATTAATAATTATTCATGACTAAAAATAATTCTCGCTTTACTTCAGGAAAGAGTACGTATGGGCCTTCCACCTTATCTCGATGATAGTCGATTCCCTTTTATCGCCTCTATTGGCCAAAGGAATGGCTCAGTCCAACAAGAAGTAAATTCACAATTATTATCACCCGAATCAAAATATACTTCTCATGTGAGTTTTAACAAAAATTAAAAAAAATATTTTTTGTAGAGACATTGCACTATATTTACCGATTCTAATAGTAATCAGAAAACAACAGAGAATGGAACAACAAAACAAACAACAGAAAGAAATTCTTTTAACGATTCAATATCAAATTCAATTAGTTAGAAGCACTTTAAATTTAACTAAAAGGAGTGAAAACTATATTTTAGAGCCAGAGGAAATCGCGGAATTTTTATTACCGAAAATTCTATTTCGACAATCCCCGCAGCAGGCGATTTTCTCGATGAAAAGAAATAAAAAGGGATAAAAAATACGGGTGTCGGAATCGGTGTTCTTTACCTCTGGATTGAATAAAGAATACGGGGAGGCTTAAAAAGGCATGCACCGCACTCGGTGTTCTTCAGCTCTGAATTGAAAATTCTCTCGAATTAAGGCCAAATTTTAAGACTTAAAAAATAATTCCCATTAATACAAATTCCCCCCCCCTCCATCTGTATCAGGGAATTTATACCAAATATTTTCCAAATATTAAAATTAAAAAGAAAACTCTAAAAATAGTCCAAATTATTTATTTTAATTAAATTTAAGAAGAAGTATCTCAAACAGTTCAGGAAATAAGGCTTTCATTGTTAACAGAAGAACAATTGAGACAAATTCGTGTTGAATGGCAAATGCTAGCAAGAATGATTGAAAAAGTTTTGAAATTAGTTTTTAGTGTATTTACAATTGTTTTTGCTGTTTATATGTTATATGATGAACAGGCACCTCCATTAATAACAGAAGAATGGATAAAAGAAAATTCACATTAATATATCAATTTTTATTAGAAAAATAATTATAAATTTTATAATTTTAAAAATTTAATTTAAAAAAAAATTTGTTAGTAAATGTTGGTGTATAATTTTAATAACCTGAGAAATGACACTTCGAGAAAACTGTATGAAAATTATGTAGAGATAAGCCTTAGATTTTTAGAGTTTATGTTTATAGAATTGATAGCAAATTAAAACTAACAAATCTTGCAACCACTCCAAGCGATTTTCCAATTTGTTATATGTATTGGTATTTTGTTAATTTATTAGCAGAGAGGAGGGACATAGTAGTTCGACTCCTTTTAATGGAATAATTTTATAAATTAATGTTTATTTTCTATATTTATCTGCAGCTTCGTACTTACGAAACAAAAGGCAAAACAAAAAATTATCAAAGAAGCGCAAAAATAACGACGGTTGTAAAAAAAATTTTGTCTATATTTGGGGAGGTATTGATACTAAATTTAGTATAAAAGGATAACAAATTTTAATCACGGATATACTATATTTCCCAACTCGAACAGATACAATCTACAGTTGACTACAAAATTTCTTCACAAATCCATGGATAATTCTACGTACTTCGGCGCGAGCCAGGCACCTGGTGGAAGCCCGTCAACCTACATGGGCTCAACTGGAGGCGGTTCCCAAAGAGAAGGTAGATTAATCGGATATTAATTTCGAAAGAATGTTCTTTTACTTTAAGTTTCCGATGGAAGGACTGTCATGGGAGGTGCAGCTGCAACAGGAACGCCTACTGAAAGCCCCACAAGAATGACAACTATTAGATGTTTTCCGGTGCGACCTGTTGATGAAGGCTCCAGACCATATGATAGCTGTGCAATAAGGCCGAGAGCCCCCGGTGAAGGCTGTATATTAGGACGACAGGGAGACACTGGTGGAGGCTGTGTGATAAGGCAACAGGGAGAAGTTGTTGGGAGAGAATGTGTAATAACACATCAAAGAGGTACTGGCGGAAGAGAATGTGTAATAACACATCAACGAGGCACTGGAGGAGGCTCATGGACACCAGCTTGGACACCAGGTCAACTCATTTCCTTTTCATTTTTTCAATTCCCTTTATTTAGAAGTTGTAGTACCTCGTCCTTGGGAAATTGAAGATCGCCCGAACGGCAGTGGAGGTGAGAAAGATTTTTAAAAATAAATATCTTTTAATCTTATTTCTATTCAAATTTTAAAGGCTTGATCAATATGGACGGTACTCGCCCTCTTTCTGTCTACATGAGTACCCGCCCTGGTTCGGTCTACATGGGTAGACCGAACACTGCTCCTAGTGGATATCCTGGCGCTCGTCCTTCCGGTTTCCAAACCAGCTACCTAGTATAGGCAATAATAAAGGCACTTCTTGCTATAAGTGAACTGCATAAAGGAAGGGATGAAGAAAAGTAGATAAAAACTATACATATGTATCTAATTTCCCCAATCATTATTGTTCTGTCTGTATTTTTTATGTTAGCTAATAAAATTATCCTTAAATTCCTGTACTGACAAAATTTGTTTTCTCGCGAAACACTTAATTTACAGATCACGATTTTTTCAACAAACTTATTTACTTCCCCCCCCTCGTCAATTTTTTTTGTTAAGGACGTACAAAATGGTCAGTCTGTCAAAAAATGTAGGAAAGAAATCAACAAAACACGAGTTGATTTGACTGAGATCTATACAAAATCTGAATGGAAAAGATATTTTCATTGGAAGGGGTTTTTAAAATAAAGTAGAAATAATAGTACAGGGTGCGGCAAATTAAGCGCGCGTTTGTTTTTTGCCATAACTTTCTTTAATTTTAATGAAAATTGATAATTCTTTTTTTGTTTTATTCCCAACACTTTAGGAAACTTGCTGATACCAAAATTGCTTTTTAATTTTAAGTTTACTCTGAGTAAACTATCCTCAAAGTTTGAGCAGAATTTTTTGGATAAAAATTGGCCTAGATTCAAGGCTGAGATTTTAATATTGGAAATGTTTATATCATTCGAATCAGCTCTTCATTCTGATTCGAATGACATAAAAATCAGGGGGCTACGACAAAAATCGAATGAGATACGGTCCTCTGAATGATAAATTAAAATAATTTTGATAAAAATAAAATTTTTGTGTAAAATTTTCAAAAATGAGATTATAAGCTATTTCGATGCTCCTGAACGAGATGAGTCGTTTAGTACCAAAATCATTGGTATTGAACGATTTTGAACGAAGTTATGATCAATTAAACTTTGGCATAAAAAATGTTTTTAAATTTTCCAGACGTTCGAACTCGATTATCTTTGCCAACAGTGAACCAAATTTTTAATATTTGGTATCAGCAAGTTTCCTAAAGTGTTGGGAATAAAACAAAAAAAGAATTATCAATTTTCATTAAAATTAAAGAAAGTTATGGCAAAAAACAAACGCGCGCTTAATTTGCCGCACCCTGTACAAAAATATGTAAATATATAATTCTTTTATAAATGCCAGAAAAAATAATTATAAAAATTCTCGAAAAATTTTTGTTTAAAATAATAAAAAAATCAAACTTCTGACATATCAACAGTTTTTGTATTTTCAAGTAATGGAAGAGGATGTTCTGTAGGTGTTTCTTCAATAGACTGAATTTGACCATTTTTTAAAAGACCCATTGCGTGAAGTTGGGGCGCCCAAATGAGATCTTCAGAATCAGAAGTTAAATAACGCTTTTCAAGGCCCAAACGTTTCTCAAGGCAAAACAAATCATAATAGGTCTAAAAAAATTATTATTTTTTGAAATTTAAATATTTTTTAACTAAGGATACTAGAGACGTCCGAGACCGAAAATTTTCCAAGACTCAAGACTAAACCCCAAGACCAAAAAAACCAAGAAAAGTCTTGGAGTCAAGACTCAAGACCAAGAGTTTCGGACGTCTCTAAAGGAAACCAATAAAATAGAGAGTATTAATAACAAAACCCCCAACACAAACGAAGAATAAAAAAAGCATATTTCTTCTTTCCCTTGTGAAGAAATGTTCCCTATTTTTAAACCTTATACCTCTTTATTCTATTAAAGTTTGGGAGATATCAACTATTTTTCAAACATTTTTGAATTACTTTTTTCTAGAACCTTGGGAGTGCCTGAAAAATCTGAAGTAATTCAAGAACCCTCCCCCTCCCTTTATTCCAACTTTCGTATTCCAATTTTTTTTCTCATACCTCAGAATTCAAAAAACCCCTACCCCTTTATCCCAACATTTAATATTTTTCAAAAAAATATGTACTTGTGGGTCACGGAGCCACTGATGAGCAATACACTCGTCAATATTAAGGCGTTCTTCAATCTTTAAAAAATTTAAAATAAGTTTTATTTTAAAATTTCAAAATAACCTGAACTTTAAGTAATTGCTGAATTAAATCAATTGCCTCGCGGCCAATTTCTCTCCAAGGATTTGAAGGAAACATAAATTCAGCATTCTGTATTTGGTCAGTAATTTCCTCATTTTCATTGAAAGGAAAAGTACCAGAAAGGGTTACATAAACAATAACACCGACAGACCACATATCCAACGATTTATTGTAACCTATAAATGAGAAGAAAAAAATATTTTTTAATTTTAAAATCAAGAGAATTCGCGTGATAATTAAAAGAATATTGGCCATAAATTTTTTGGTTTTTTTCTCATTGTTTAGAAACCTTATTTTAATTGCCCAAAAGATAAAATTGGAAAAATAATCATTTTCTACATTAAATCAAAGCTAACTACTTAATGTTTTAACAAGAAAGCAATGTTCAATTAGATTAGTCAACTTATGTTAGGAATAGAGTTGCCGCTTTCGAGTTGGGCCGATGGTCGAGTCATTTTTTAAAGGCCTCAATTTTATCGAGTCGGGCCGTACGAGTCTTTTTCGGGCCAAATATTTTACACCAGACTCGATCTTTCGGTCCGAGTCGGGCCATTTTGACAACCCTAGTTAGGAATAACGAAGATGGTGAAATTAAAAGAGGAGCTGGGATTTAATAAAAAAAATCTTCAGTTTACTTTCTGGGTCATTTTCAACCAAATTTCTATTTGACTTTTTGTCAATTATTTTTTAATTAAAAAATTTAACCAAAAATTTCTTAAAAAATAACCTTTCTTTTTAAGTACTTCAGGTGCCAAATATGCAGGTGTTCCAACAATTGTCTTTCTAAATTGAGTTTCTCCAATAAACCGAGCATAGCCAAAATCGCAAAGTTTTGTTTGTGGAAAATTTGATTTAAAGTCGGAAAGAAGAACATTTTCTAAAAAAAAATATGAAAATTTGTTCAGAAAAATTTTTATAGGTGGAAATATTAAAATTTTGTCAGGAGACTAATTTTGGCATTTAATGTAAGTATTTCAGATAGCCAAAAGCCAGAATTACTCTTTTTTAGCAACAAACATTTTTTCTTTTTTACTCATTGACAGAGAGAAAGAGGTTTTAATCTATTACGCCGGCCTCTAAATATGAATGAGAGACTTATAGACGGTGTGAGATCAAAAAGATGGGGAAAGTTGCAAAATAAGACGAGAAAAATTGCTATTTTTAATGTTAAAAATATTTTTCAAAATTTTCTTTTTAATGTTTGATGTTTCCTAATAATTTTGTCCGAACAGTCAAAAACAAATTAAAATTAAAACAAATTATTTTACCCGGCTTCAGATCACAATGTGCAATTCCTCTAGAGTGAAGATAGCGAAGAGCTCTAAAAACCAATTTAAATTAAAAAAAAAGAATTTAAACCTTAAAATTTGCATAATCAAAAATTTGGCAGAACGTTCATTAAGACGACCAGACGCCTAAAAATTGAAAAAATTCAGAAAAAAAATTAAAAATTCAAAATAACCTGACTTAAAATTAATTCCAACATATCTCCATTCATTTTCTCCATAACAACAAATATTTTATCTTTTGTCTCAAACATACTTTCCAATTTAATAATTCCTTGAAAATCAACAGCTTGTAAAATAGCAACTTCACTTTTGAGTGTTTCCACAGCTGAGGATTTTTTGGAGAAACGATCTTTGGCTATCATCTGTGAATGTAAAGAATTTTAAATTTTTGGAAAAGAACATTCAGAAAGTTTAATAAAGTGAATTTTGGAATTTCTGGGAAAGATAACAAGGAGTTGTTTTTCTGGGATCGGTTTGAAAATCTCTGAGACAATGTAAAATACGCTGATTTCCAAAAAACTAACATGAAAGCTTTCTAGTTGACATCAAAAAGCGATCTAATACCCCAACTATTAGAACCAAAAGATTTTATTCCAGAAATTTCCTAACCTCAGATTGAAATAAAGAATTGAATTTTGAAAGATTTTTAAAAGAAATAAAAATTTAATTCACCTTCACAGCAACTTCACGTCTTGAATGTCTATGTACAGCACTAAACACAGTCCCAAATTGACCAGAACCAAGAATCTTTTCTCGTTGAAGCTGTAAAAATTGGAATAGAATTCAGAGTGAATGGAAATTACCTGATACAACTGAGAAAATTGGAGTGCCGGTTCGGGAGCTGCTGTCTCATTTCGAAGAACAGGAGGTTGTAAGGACTGTTGAAGAGCCTAGAAAATTTTTAAAATTGAATTTAAATAAAATATTCAAAAGAGCAGAGGAAATACTTTGACAAAAAATATAAAATACCAAACCTTTCCCTCATCCCTTTTCTTAGAAAATCGAAGATTTTTTGCCGGGCAATCCATCAATTCGACGCTTCTTGCTTCAGACTTCCCCCTAGACCGTTTAGGTGTGTTCACATTCTTTTTATTTATCCCAGTCGTCGATTGAGAAGTCGCTGATCTCTTCATTGGTGTTACAGGCATTTTTGGTTCCCTCGTCCTCGATCTTGTAGAAGGACGGCCTCTCTTCCTTCCAAGTACAGGAGTCTCCGTTATTGACTTTGTTGCAGCTGGGTGTTTCTCAAAAGACTTTTCATAATAATTTCCAGTAAATGGCGGAGTATGTCGATGATTACCACAAGTCTAATTTAAAATTACCCACAAAAATCGATTAAAAAAATGCCTGTTCAATAATTAAATTGTCAATATCACCGCTAGTTCGAAGAGTAGATTTGCAAGAAGTATAATGCGCTGCTCCTTTGTATTTATTACAAATCCAAACAGTTATGCCTTTTTTTGTTGTGTAACCTTTCCAAAAGATGTAACCCTCATAAATAAGCATGGGGTTTCCGTAAAATGTTTTAACAATTTGAAGCATGATAATTTTCAAATAAATTGCTAAAAGAATTAAAAAATGAAACACACAAAAAATTAGAAAATGAGAAAATGATTATTTGGGTAATGGCTGTTAATAAGAAAATGTCTGAGTACTTTTCCGTTATCCTACCCCCTTTTTGCAGAGTTTTTGCGGACTGCCTTATGTAAAGAATGTAAAGACAAAAGAATGGTGCCACAGAAAAATTGAGTGAAATTAAGGAAAGGTGAAAGTCTGACTGCAAAAAGGGGGTAGGAATAACGGAAAAGTACCAATGTCTGAGTATTCAATCAATAATGAAAGGATAACAAGAAAAAACAATACAAAATTAAAATAGTTGAAGAAAATTTCCAAAAAATAAAAAAACTTAAAGAAAATAAAATGAACATTCCGCCAGTTTGGCGTTGTGTAAAATAATTTTGGCGAAAATAAAAAATTTAAATACAAAATAAATAAAAGGATTAATAAAGCCCTAGTCTTTCCTAAAGTTTTCCTCTGCTCTTCTCGATAAAAATAAAAATCAACCTGATACCATTGTTGCCAACTTAAAGCACCACCAACAACACTTCCAGTAGCCAGTTTGTTGTTAACTTGTTGAGCTGTTGTTGGTCCTCCCTGTAAGAGAGCCTCCAAATTTTCCCCGACACAATAAGTTAAATTATTTGTTGTTCTAATTTCGAATGCGTGTGGAGGGGATCTTTAAATTTTAATTATTTTTTATAAAAGGATTTTTAGGGGTTTTATAAATTGGCGTTAAAAATATTTTTAGATTTTTACAGAAAAAATGAATAAAAACAATAATTCCAAAAAAAAAATTAGCTTCCTAAAATTTTATTTTTATGAACATTTTAGTAATCTATTACTGTTCCCTTTTTAACATTTTGTTGTGAAATTACTCACTTTGGATCAAGAGAAGGCCCCTCGTACGGCACCAAAGCTATTATCTCCGCCAAATTGATTTGTTTAAAAACACGATTTGGATTGACACCTGCAAAATATATGGGTGGAATGTAGCTAGTTGATGATTGAAAAAAAAGAAGAGGAGAGAGAAAGAATGAAGATAATTTAAAATAAAATCGGAATGAAAAAAGAACGGATCAATTTAGTTGATTAATGTAAATATTTTAGTAAATTTTTATAAATTCTTTACTATTTAGAATAAATAAATTGAGAAATGAAAAGAATGGAGGTTTGTGTTATATAATTGGATTTCCCTATCTTATGTAATTAAAAATTTTCTGCAAAGCTTCTGCTAATTAACAAGTCCAAAATTAATAGAACCCGGAACAAAACACATGATCATTTGAATCTTGTGAACATACCGAGACGAGATCATGAACGAACTAAAATGTCTGGTATAGAGATAGAGATTTATCGAGATATCTCATACTACACTCCCAGTCATGTCTCTACTTGAGACCAAAATGAAAACGTTCAGGAGAAAATATAGAAACATGACAATGAAGATGCTTTTACTTTTACCATTTAAGAATCGGTTTGTAACATCCTAATACATAAAATTATGAGGGAAACCTCTCAAACCAAATAAATTTTAAAAAATTATTCTAACCATCGTTATATTCACTAAAAAGGCTAATTATTCCATTTGAAAGAATCCAATAATGCCGAAGTCTACGCCTATCACGTTCTTGCAAAACAAAGTGAATAAGCCAGCCTTCACATACAATTTGTCCCATTGGACCTGCTGGACGTTGTGAACGACTTGAAGCTGATCCTTTAAATAAATATATAAAACTTTTATCCATTAAAGAATAGTTGCTTTCACTATTATGTGAGATCAATTAATTCTTAAGGACTTTTTTGAAGAAAAGTTTGAGCCGAATTAGCTGAGCCGAACTAACATGCACAGGAATTGAGATAAAATTGTATCCAAAAGAAACCGTTTATCAACAATAAAAGTCCGTCAAAAATCCTCAAAATTTAATTATGTAAATACCTGGCAACCGAGCTAATGGAATCATTGCATCAGTCGATGTGTCTATTAATTGTAACTGTTTATTTGAAGATATTTGTTGTTGTATATCAATATCATTTGATGCATTTTGTTGTTCAAATGTCACGTTTGGTGTTATAGCATTTTCTGCAGTTATTTGGCAATTCGAGGGAAGTAAATGGGCACATTTTTTGTGTACATTTACCTAAAAATAATTAGAGAATTTGTTTCTGTTTTTATCCTTCTAAGAAAAAAATGTTTAGTATCGAGATTCTGAACAAAAAGATTTTTCGAAATAATTCTCGAAATCGCGTAATCTTTTCTCTAGTTATTTCACAAACGCTGATTAAGGACCTAAATGGAATATCAGTAGTGATTCAACAATGAATGTGACATAAATTTAAGTCAATTAGAACAAGGATTAGTATAAAATTTTATAAAGAAGGAGGGGGATAGTTAATTATTGTTTGTCAACACATTTCAAGACACACCTTACAATCCCGGCAACGCAACCCTTGTTTAACAATCCCAACAAGTAATTTATCACATATTTTACAAACTGTAGGCATTTTATAGTTATGAATTAGTAAAGAATGTGGTAATTGAAATTGTGGGTGTTGCGGCAAATTTTGTTGGTTTAATTGTTGTTGGTGGTGGTCATTATCTATATGAGGAATTTAAATTTTTAAACTAATTTCTAATAAATCTCCGAGTTTCTATTAAAACAAAATATTGGCGGGTCTCTCTATAACTCCTTAGGCTGAAAAGATCACATCTTATAATGATGTGTACCTCAAAAAGGGAAGGGGGGGAGGTAAAGTTTAAACAGCTCCCCCATTCAATGGCCAATTAAAATTTTCATAAATTTATCTTAAACTGGAGTGTTTAGTCCAGTATTTAGTGTGTTAGTTAAGCCCGGATATAGTTTAACAAGTCCCACCATGAGTTAAATATTGCTGGTCAACACCTCCAGCTAGAAACGTGCTAGGAATAATATCAGATTTAGCACAATTATTTCTCGGTGCAAAAGCACATTTCTTATGAAAATTACACCTAAAAATAAAAACAAAATTCAAAAAAATTTCTCCAAAGCTTACTTGCAGGACTGGCATTGAAGTCCTTGTTTAACTAACCCCATAAGTATTTCCCCACAATAGTCACAAAAAGTAGGAGTAACATAAGTGTTTACTACTAAAGAATGTGGCTTGGTAGGTCGCTCATGTCTCTCAATTCGAATTATTTCTACAACACTTCCATTGTCCTAAAAAAAGAATTTTTAATGTTAGTAAAAAGAAAGGAATATAATATTTAAAAATTTAATTCTAATTTTATTATCTTTTTTTACATTTTTAGCCCAAATTTTATTTAATATAAAGTCAGTAATTCTTAAAATACTCAAAAATTTATTCGTTTTATTTTGATTTTTTAATTAATTTTACTTTGAATTTTGTTAAAAACAATTTTTTAACTTAAAAATTATCGTCAAAGTGACACCCCTTGTGCTGCTAGCTTCTCGCAAATTTTCCCTAAGAATTTCCATTCAACGGGGAATAACCCTAGTAAATCCTATTGATATATAGAATTAATTTAGTCCACGTTTTTTTAAATTTATTTGGCCACTGTTAAGTGACCTAAAGGTTTCTGTTTTTTAAATTAAAATTCATAAATTAACCAATTGTGTTAACGTTGCCAAACAAGTTAACATATTAAAACTTTTATAATCGTGAAGGAAAAGTTGAATCTCTCCAACCATTATATTTGAAGTTCCTGTTGAATTAATAGATGCTTCTATTTGTAATTGTTTTTCAACCATTTGGCGAGCTTTTTGTCTTTAAAAATTATTTAAATATTTAATACTTCGCTCAAGATTTAGTGAGGTATTCACTTTGAATGAAGAGTCTAACATGGATTTTATTTACTTTGAATAGGTAATTTAATTAATTGTCAAAAATTAATTTTTAAAAAATTATTTGTGGAAAAGTGCCTTCAGTAATTTAAATTTTCCACTACAAATTTACCCTAAACAGACAACTTGGAATTTGAGTAGTTAAACACAACTAGACCAAAAACTCTTAATAAATTTCCAACCTAAAAATTTCGAAAGCATTCGGATCAACCGTTCTTTCAACAACCACCATTTCTTTTAAAGGCCCATATTGAAGAATAATAGTAATAACTTGTAAAGGTTGTTGGGGTTGTTGGGGAAATGGTGGGGGAAGTAAAAAATCATTTGATGTTGGAGGTGGAATAATTAATTGTTGATTAAATAAATTATTGTTATTTTGTTGTTGTTGCCATATATCCCCTCCTCCACTTCCCCCAAAAAGTAATTCTCTAATTCCGTTATTTTCTGGTTGTTGTTGAATTTGTTGGGGAGGTTGGGGAGGGAAAAAATTGGGTAACATATTTTCTAACAATTTTTTATTTTCTCCTCCCAAAGCTTTTAAGCCTAAGAATGTCCACATAATTTTTTAATTAAATAGATAAAGAAATAAATATATTTTAATTTATTTTATGCAAAATGCGCAAGAAATTTTTGATTTTGGAGGAGGAGAGAATTTTTAAAGAAAAAAAGATGAGCTTAGCGAAGAGAAAAAGAAGGAAAATAAAAACAAGTTTAATTAATTATATAATTAAAAATTGAGAATGATTTTTAATCTCTTTAATTAAAAATGTAGAAAAAAGTTTGCAGTGAATTTTAAAAAATAATATTTAATTTTTTTTAATTTTAAGACAATTTTTCAAATTATTTTAATAATTATTTAAACTTAATAAACATTTTAATGAAATAAAAAAATGTTTTTAATCCACATCAAGTTAAAAATTTTTGTAAATTAAGAACATATATACCTACTTTATGTGTAGTTACCTCCTCTAGCGAGAATTTGAAACAATAATTATTCCAGGGTAATTATTTAAGGATATATGGTTTGGCATAAATTAACAGTTTCATGAAGCCGAATCCTTTCCTTCAAGGATTCAGCTACATAATTAAGTTTCGAATGGTCAGACCTAACCGATCATGGTATAATTAACATAATAAATTATATATCAAGCAAAAAAGCTCAAAATGGTCAAGGAAACAAGAAAAAAGTGCGGGTCTATTATTACTTTGTAAAAATATCAAATAAAAGTGTTACAACGAGTGTATATTTTAGTAGATTTAAAAATTTAATTTAAAATTGTGACACTTACTAAAACCTCGATCAAGATTTAAATACATATTTTTAGCTAAATTTAAATTTTTTTAATATTTTTTAATTAATTGAGGATATATTTGTGGGGGAAATCATGAAAACAATGACAGCCAAAATCAGTAAAACTTGTTAAAGTTAAAAGATCGATTTTGTTTGTTGGAATGTTTGAAAGAGACTTTTACATAAATAAAAATGTATTTATTTTATTGAGCACATTTTTGGGTAGCGCAAATAAGAAGAAGAAAGAAAAGTGGTTGTTGAAAGGATGAAAAAAAAAAGAAGAGAAGAATTAACGGAAGAAAATAAAAAAGTATATAATTAAAGTATTTCTCTAAACTACCTTGTTTAATTAATTAATTTTTTAAAATAATTTTGAGTATTTAAAAAAATAAAGAATTATAGAAATTAATAAAAATTCTAGAAAATTAGCATACCGTACCTCTTCCTTTTAATTATCCTTTCCCTGCGAGAGCTTCAGAAAATACATAATTACTTTATTAATTGAGTTCCTTAAATATTATTGACAAACGAAGTCGAGATTTTAACTGAATTCGGAATCAGAACCACAAAATGCACACATTTTAAAATAAATTTGAATCGAATATTGATGTATTTAATTAATCATTATTTTAAAAATAAATATCCTTTAAAAATCATTTTTACATTTAATTTCATTTTAATTTTTTTAACTAAAATAATTTAATAAATTTAATATTTTCTGGGATATTTTTTACAAAATTAAATTTAAAATTTTAATTTACTAATCAATTTTAACAAAACAAAATTAATTTATTTTTTATCTGTCACACATTCCTTTTGTTATTTAATAGTTTCTCGCCAAACAATAACAAACAAAACCTTTTTCACACCACGTAAACGCACTCAATCAGAAATTTATTTTCTAAAAAATATTCAAAATATTCTAATCAATTTTTTATTTAAAAAATTTTTAAATAAATTTTTTATATTTTTATTTAAATCTGTCAGGAATATTTTTGTGTAAATAAATAACGGTACTTTCCTGTTATCGGCCCTCCATTTTTTCTTCCTTATTTCTCAGCCTACTTCTGTACAGAATGGTCAGATTTTCTTTCTTTCTCAAATTGACTCCGTTTCCCGGTGGCAACAAAGAAAAGATTATTTTTTGCAAAGATCAGATTAATTTTTTAAAACATTCAAGATCAAAAAAGATAAAACATACATTGTCAAAAGGGGAAGTTATCCCAATGACGTGGAAGTTGTCCTGTGAATGTGGAAAGTTGTTCTATTCTAACAATGGGGGAACAACTTCTGTTGGAACAACATCCCCGCTCACGTAAGTAACATCACCACAGTTGGAACAAGATCTCCATAGTTGGGGAAATAGTAGATAGTTGAAGAAAACAGACTAAAAAAATTAATCTGTTCTTTGCAAAAAATAATCTTTTCTTTGTTGCCACCGGGAAACGGAGTCAATTGAGATAGAAAGAAAATCTGACCATTCTGTACAGAAGTAGGCTGAGAAATAAGGAAGAAAATGGAGGGCCGATAACAGGAAAGTACCTAAATAACAAATATTTTCCTCGTACATTTTTGTGTGACCATAAAAGAGAAAAAAGAAAAGCATTTTTTACCTGATTTTTTTATTTTTTTTTATTTTCACATTATCGATAATTTTAACTTAAGAAATAATTTTTAGAATAATTAATTTAATAAAATAAAAAAAAATTTTTTTTATTTTTGTTAAAATAATTTATGAAATATTTTTGTTTAAATTTTAAGTACATATTTTAAACTTTTAATTAAATTAAACCTACGTGTGTGTGATTTATTATAATTAATTAAATTTTTAATTAACAAAAATGTCCCAAATATTCTATTTGAAGAATAATTATTTTTTAAATATTTTTCCCAAATTTCCAAGATATATAAAAATTTTAAAACGTGACAACTCATTTTTAATAAAATTGTTTGTACAATTATTTAATAAATTTTTATAAAATAATTTTGAATTATTGATTATTTAATTATTAACTTAATTATCTTAATTTTTCATACGAATTTTAAATTAATTTATTTTTATTGTGTTAATTTTCATTTTGAGTTCCATAAGTTAATTCTCATTAGTATTTCATTATAAGCGACAATATACCTTTATGATAAGATTTCTCCATTTATTAGATTGCCCCATCATTATCTCGAAATCTCGCTAGGCTGAAAATAATTAAGTCGCCTATACCGATTTATACAGTGCGTCCGTAAATTATACGACCACTTGTATTTTTTGTCATATCTTATCTTTATCATCTTTATCATGATATTTTCGCTTCATTTCTTTTTACATTAATTATTTATGTATTAAGAAAAGTCGCTACTAACGAGAGTTCACAATTTTTATTTTTCATTTTTAAATTACTTCTCAAATATAAAATTAAAAAAAAATTTTTCAAAGAAAAGAAAGAATGAGTACTTCAACAGGTTCAGAATTAGCAATAGGTTATGCTTCCCTTTTTGTATCGTGTGCTGCTTTTGGTTTTATGTTTGCCCCACTAAAAAGATTAGATTCTAAAGACGGCGTTTTTGTTCAATGGATTCAATGTTCTGTTGTTTTTATGTTTGGATTAATAATTAATGTTATTAGAGGATTACCCCAATTTAATTTAATTGCTTCTATTGGAGGATTCCTTTATGCTACTGGTTTTGAAAAAAAAATAAAAGAGAGGGAAAATATTTTAATTATTAATTAAAGGTAATGTTGCTTCAGTACCTATAGTTGCTGAAATGGGAATTGGTTTAGGAATGCTTATTTGGGGGTCTGTTCAGGTGGTTTTCTTTTTCAAAAAATCTTTCCCAAAAAATTTTGGTACTTTTCCGTTAATCGACCGCAAACTGAGTAACAGCCGAATTTTAACAGCTATAAATTTCTGATGCTTGATCCAATACAAATGAATTTTATATCATTCGAAAGCTCTCGATAAGCTCTATCTTTTACCCTAGTGTATGGATCAGGTCTGATCACTCATAAAAAAGTTACAAGTCGATAATAGTGAAAAACAACGATTTCTTGCACTTATCGACTTGTAACTTTTTTATGAGTGATCAGACCTGATCCATACAGTTGGGTAAAAGATAGAGGTTATCAGGGCTTTCGAATGATATAAAATTCATTTGTATTGTATCAAGCATCAAAAATTTATAACTGTTCAGATTCGGCTGTTACTCAGTTTGCGTCGATTAACGGAAAAGTACCAAAATTTTCAACAAAAATTTTTAGATAATAGTAGGTTGGTGTGTTGCTCATTTTGGCCTATTCGGGACAAAACCACAAAATGTTCAAAATCCATTATTAAATTATTTGGGCGTTTTAATTACTTTATTTAGGTAGACATGTAATTAAATTTTAAATTATTCCCCACTTTTTTTCAGTGGAATAATGTTTGTTTTTGTATATAGTCGAGAGGAAAGGGATAAAAAACTTAGCCCAATTGAAAAAGATTATGATAATAATCGAATTGCTTATAGAAGTGAAAGGTGGGAAAATTGGAAAAATTTTCAAAGAAAAAGTTCCTTTCAGAGCACCTTCCACCTATGGAACAGTCCACAATGTTTGGGCAGTAGAATCAGAACAAGATAACGGAAATAATGCTTCCACAACTTTAGAAAATTTGCCTAGAATTGAACAGTCAGAAATTAAAAGAACTGTAACTCCTCGTTTAACAAAAAGAAAATTATTGTGAGTTTAATTATTAGGATATACCCTTCTCACTTGAAATAGGGTACACCCCGATGTACCGCGAGCCCAATGTACCACCGAGCTATAACTTTGTCAAAAATTGTCGAATCCGTGGCGCCCTGGTATGGTTCGATTTAGCTGGTCGAGACGCGTCGAACCATACCAGGGCGACACGGAATCGACAATCTTTGACAAAGTTATAGCTTGGCTGTACATTGGGCTCGCGGTACACTGGCCTGCTCCCTTGAAATATTATCCAAATCTCGTAAGCAATCTCGTAAAGCACTTCCAAATCTCGTAAAGCACTTCCTTTTTCTTCATTATTCTCTCATTTTCCAGCTTTATTGGATTAGCAGTCTGTTTAGGCTCTCTTCACGGTTTAATGTTAACCCCTATTGTTTATGTCCAAGACACTGACCCATTGGCTTCGAAAAATGGTATTAAACGAAATAATATTTTGAGATTTAATTTTCTTTTTCAGTTCTCGATTACGTCTTTTCACATTTTTCGGCAGTTTTCTTCTTCTCCACCTTTTATTTTATTATCTACACTTTAATACTTAAAGGAAAGCCTTATGTCCAATCAAATTTAGTACTTCCATCAATTGCTTATGGAATTCTTTGGTCAATTGGAATGACTTTATTTATCGTTTCTAATAAATTACTCTCACAAACTGTTAGCTTTCCAATTACTGTTCGAGTAAGTAAAAAGGATTCTTATTTGAACTAGTTCCTAAAATTAAAATCCTCCCTGTTATCTGGAGAATGAACGGGGAATTCGTTGGCAACAATTAGGGGTCTTTTATTCTTGAACGAGAACGAGACAATTACAAAAAGAACAATAGTTTAGAACCAAAAACGTAAATGGGAGTATATGGGACACTGACAGACAAGGGACCATCGTTTAATGTTTACCGCGAATTTTATATATTTTTGGTACCATTCGATAAAGGGTAGGACTTCATGGAATGTTCTTAAAAATTTTTAATTTCAAAACAATTTTTTAATTCAATTTTTCAGCTCCCAGCAATAATAGGAGCATTAGCAGATGTTTTAATATTTAAAAGCATAAAGGGAAAAATGCAAATGTCATTTCTTTTTGCAGCAATAATTGCTGGCTCAGTTGGCGTAATACTTGTTGGAATATCCTTATATTAATTAAATTCTTTCAATTTTTTTGCCATTTTTAAATTAAAAAAAAATTTCCAGATTTTTAAAAATATTCTTTTCAACTTTCAATTTTTAAATAAAATTCTAAAGAATTTTTCTATTTATTTTTTTCTAATTAAAAAAATATTTTTTATTGACATTTTTTCTGTAAAGTTATATTACTAGTTTCCACCCATTTTTTCTTTTTTGTTTTATCCTTCTCTTCAATCTCGTCATCAGACATACTTTTGACTATAAAATAGAGATCTGCAAAGAACACAATAGTTGCACAAACTAATCCTAACAACATTCTTTCTGCAATGTCCAAACCCAAATGGGGATAGGCAAATTGTACACCCCAAAAACCAAAGGCAAAAGAACCTCCTTAAAAATAGAAAAAATTACAAAAATTTTGGACAAAAATTTCCTAACCAACAGTTATCAAAGTATTAATAATTGCAACCATTTGTCTATTCACTTCACGCATTTCTTGTCCAAAATTTTGAAGTAGTGAATTAGAACGTGTTTGATCAATTGAACGAATCATATTGTTATATTCCATATTTGCCTTTAAAAAATTTTTTTAAGAATTTTTTTGTTAATACTTCAAATTTTGATTAAAACTATTAGGGTTGGATTTTCCGAACCGGGCCGACGTTCGAGTCATTTGTTTCGGGCCGGACCGGTCGAGTCTTTTCCGGGCTTCATTTTTATCGAACAGGGCCGTCAGTCTTTTTCGGGCCAAAATTCGAGGCCCGTTTCGATCTTTCGAACCGAACCGGGCCCCCAACCCCAAAAACTATATCAACTAAAACAGACAAGTAATCAGGAAAAATTTTTAGGGTGGGCTACTTGAACTCTATTTTTTAGCACCTAAACCCCAAAAAATTATTTTAATTAAATTAATCACTAAAATTAACCTGTTGATTTCTTAGCCTTTCAATTCTTTCCTTATATTCTCTTTTAGCTTCTTTTTGTTCCTCAGTCAGTTCAGGCTGAGGAAATTGTTGAGGCTTTAAATAATCAACAAATTTGTAAAATTCTGTATCCGAAGGAAGAGCTTTATAAATTGCTTCTACTTCAGAACTGCTAATTCCATCACGCTAAAAAATTAATTTAAAAAATCTTTTCCTAATAAAAACAAACATTAATTAATTCATAAATACTAGATCCATTTGTTTTCGTTTCATCAAAGTAAATTCGAGTTTGGTCAGTTGGAAAGTCAGTAGGTATTATTTTCCGAAATATTTTTCTTTCTTCTTCAGTTAATCTCCACATTTAAATTTGTCCAAAAATAAATTTTACTCAAAAAATTTAAGAACCTTCGAAGAAATCTTTAAAAAAATAAAATTCTATAAAAATATTTAAAAAAAGTATTTAATTGTGAAAACAAAAGATCAAAAGCTTTACAAAAATCAGAAACATTTTATTTAGAAAAATACAAAGAAGAAAAATAATAACAAAATACCCATGCACGTTTATATAAATTATTAATTAATTAAAGTTGCTCCTATTTTTCAAGAATTAAGTGGACAATCTCAGTTGCAGTCAATATATAAATTAAGAAGAAAAAAATAGAAAAAATATTGAGTAGGATTACAATTAAATCACAAATATCAGCCCTTTTTTAAACATGAATATCGATTCGCCATTCACGCGAGATGTAAACGCCCGGTTTTCGAATAACAATTAAACGTTGGTCACGGTCATGTGTGTATTCCAAATCTTCAGGGTTATAATCTGAAACTATAAAACTTAAAAATATTCTTTCAAAAGAGAGGTAAACGTTCAGCCCCGACTATGCGCCCAGCCCGGTAAAGGTAAGAAGTAGGTCCCTTGGATAGTCAACTCCTCTGGAAATTCAAATTTCACCCATTCAACCCTGGAAAATGGCTAAAATAAAACTCAAACCTTCGTAATACATGTGAACTGCTCTAGGGTAGTAACGAACACCACGAATGATAATACGTTCAACCCACACATCGGGATCAAATTTGCCATTTTTATCCAAATTTTTTGACATTATTGCATAATTGTATTCACTCGCCTTTTTGTAAACAAAACCCTTAAAAATTTCAAAATAAAAACATTTTAGAGAAAATATACCCAATATAAATATTCATTTTTGTCCTTATAGTTATGTGATTCCCCATCATCCATGTAAATTGTACCATTTGCAAATTCTCTATCCAATTCAGAGGCAATATATAAGGTTATTGGGTCATTACGTTGAAGCATAGAAGCACGGCGTTGACGTTCCCGAACCTTAAAGGGAATAAAATTAAAAGGTTTTACAAGAAATTCATACAGGTATTATAGTGCCTCCTCGTTGGTAAACAGGAATCTTTTCAAGTGGAGTATCAGTATAAATGGCGCCAGGTGAAAGATACATTTTATGCGTGTCCCAATCAAACCTCAAATAAAAAATTATCAATTAATCAATTTCAAAATATTTTACCAAGTTTGACCAATTCCGGGTAAGTAAAGCGAAACATGTTGAACATCTGGTTCAACGACAGGGCGTACAAGAATTCCTGAGCCAACCATCCATTCACGTTCCTCATCAAAAGCAGCCTCGTCCTCTGGAAATTCTGACCAAACTGGACGCATTGGAGGAACGCCTGTTTTCGTATGCTCGTAAAACAGAGTATACCTGAAATTATTATAAAAATATTTTTATATTAAATAAAAACCAGTAAGGAAGAAGAATATAACGCCTGATAACAGCCTCGCGTAAAGCATTGTTCTCACGTTCTGAAAACAACCAAGGTTCTCTTCTTTTAGTCTCAATATGTCCGTGAGCCTTAGTAAGTAAAGAATTATCAGAGATTTACAAAAACACTCACCCTGAAGAATGGCTGAAAGGCTCCAGCTTGATACCAACGAGTAATCAATTGTCCATCAGGATCTTTGAAGAAGCCTCCAACATCAGCCCCAACTGAAGGAATGCCAGAAACAGAAATGGAAAGAAGCATTGGAATTGACTGTTTCAAGTGTGACCATTCAGCAAAATTATCGCCAGTCCAAACAGTAGCATATCGTTGGCTGCCTACAAAAAATGATCGGACAAGAAGAAAGGTGCGGAGGCGCCTGTTGGATCGAAGCAGTTGACCGTTAAATGTTGCCATTGACTAAAATATTTTTGCAATTTAAATATTGACTAGTAATCAGATAGGTTTGATGAATGTGAATCACCGAAAAAAATTTTCCTATTCCAAAATAAAGGGAAAAAATCACAACAAAGTTTAAATTACTTGAAAAAATCCATAAATGTTGTGAACTTCTCGATGTTCCAAACCATCAAAATGACGAGCATCCTTGTGCATTGTAATTTCGGGTCCACTAAAAACACTCGGCTCGTTCATATCGTTCCAAGTATATGTCTAAAAAATATGAAAAATTTACTGATTTAACTTAGAATATACTCTTTCTGTAGTTCCTTGATATTGATCAACAGGAAATTTTCCAGCCCAAAATTCGCGAACCGAAGGATTTACAAAATCAAGCCACATTGACGCGCCAGGCCAACAATGACCTTCATAATCAGAAGTACCGTCAGATTTTTTGACAAAAAAATTGTTGGCTTTTGCCTCATTGTAAACAAAATAACCATCATCAATTTTTATATGCGGATCAATTACTGTGACCAAAGTGCGATTCTTAAATTAAAAAATAATTACAACATAATTTTTAAAAAACCTTAGCTTCCAACTCTTTAATCATTTCAAGAGAATTGCTAAACTTGACTGGATCCCAAGTAAAATATTTTTTTGCGTCAGTGTGTTCAATATCAAGCCAGAGAACATCTAGAGGAATGTCATGTTCGTCAAAGGAAGAATGTACACCAAGCAAGTCTGCCCTGTCATTATAATTCCATCGGCATTGGTGATAAGCAATTGCAAAAAGCTGGGGAAATTTTTAACGGAAATTTTGAATAATTTAAAAAAATATACTGGTGGAAGTGGAAAAACTCCAGTTAATTGAGCATTTTGACGGAATACATCTTTTGGTCTAGGTCCAAGCATGAGGAATAAATCAAGAACACCAGTCTCAGAAATAAAATGTACATCAATTTGTTCTTTAATTTAACAAATATTTTAGACAAAAACAAACAAAAGAAACCCTTAAATGAAAAATAAATTTTAAAAAATTTAACGAAAAATAAAACTTTATCCGTAGCAAGATTAACGTCTACCCAAGTTTCAGCAGCATTCAGCCAAAGAACACCAGCTGTTCTTGCTTTGCCATGAGCAATAGCAAAGGGTATACTTCCATATAGAGCCATCCCGTTTTCAAGTTCATACTCAAAAACGTCCAAATTATAGAGGCGATATGGGTCAGTATACCTTTTAAAATAAAAAAAATAAAAATAAATAAGTTAAAATTACGTTGTAGATTTGAGCGTGAATGATTCAGAATGTTCGGGGAGGCCATAAAGAAATTTATATCCAATAAAAGAAACGTCCAATCCAATAGAACTTGATCCAAAAGGTTTTGTGTCTGTATGACCTTTAAAAGTCTCCTCCCAAAATCCTTCCCCATCTTCGGCACCGTCTCCAACTTTATTCCGATAGTGCTCAAATTTTAAAAGTTGTCTAGAATTTACAGATAATATAAGATTGTCGTCAGTGAAAATATTGACACGGAAAGGAGTGTATTCAATAACAATTTTATAGCTATTCTTTTCTCCAAAATTAGCAATAAAAGATGCAGAAGTGCCAGAATGTTCGAAATTAGAAAATCTTAAAAATAAAATTAGCCAACAAAATAAAAAAAATTCTAAAAAGACTTCTAGGCTCTAGCTACCGAAGATTTTTTAGAATAACCCGGGCTTCCAATAAGTCAGATCCTGTCCAGGAAAATTAATTTTAAAAAACCTGGCCGCGATCTAAATAAAATTTAAATTTACTTTTGTTGTTTAGGCTCCCCATCCAATGCTATAGTCGGATGAAAACGTCTTCGCATTGGTTTAATCTCATCAATAACCATCCGAACTTTCCCATCCTCAAGTAATGCCAAAATTAATTTAAGTTTATTCACAGAACTTTCGAGAACCGCCTCAACAGCCGAATCATTTGCTTTGATTGAATCTGGTTGTATATTGTAAACAGGATTGCTGGCTTTTGCTCTGTGACGCCTACAAAAATATTTAATTAATAAAATTTTCATTTTTTAATTTAAAAAAACAAACTTGCAAAATGCAGCCTGTTCACAAGTTTTAAAATTGCTTCTATCTACAGCAACACAAATTAATATAAAACTTGAAGAAATTATTAATTGAATGAGTGGATGCGTCAAGAAAATCTTCATTATAATTGAATCTGTAATTCTGTAATTTTATTAGATAAAAGAATAATGGTAGAAAAACTAAAAACAAAATTAATATAAAAACCCGTGATTGCACCCTAAATGTTGTGTTCAACACGCAAATTTCTAATAACTTTGAAGCCAGAAAATAACTTATCCAAAATCTAGAATTAACCCGAGCTTAAATCAAGACTCTAACGACTGGGACAAACTAGAGATCGGAACAGGTCCGGGGCCCGTTTCCCGGTTTCGGGTCCCTTTTCCCGGTTTTTAAGCAACCGGTATGAAACCGGGAACGGGAATTCCCGGTCGAGTCCCACCCGGCCAACTTTCAGAACCCCGGTTTTTTCAAAATTCAGAAACAAAGAAAATTTAAACTTTATCAAGGAGAAGGACGCGTAGAGTCCCACGTCCTAAAAAGGAATTATGCTTCAAATTTTTATGCAACGTAAACGAATTTTCATTGAATAAATGATAAATAAGTGTGTGATAAACATTTTTTAAATCGTGCTATACTGATTATGTATTTTTATCTGCAGACAATTTTAAATGTTATAGTGAAGAAAAAATAATAAAATTTATAAATTTCTCAATTTCATTGTTATAAAATGGCCATTGTCTTCCAAATATGCTTCATTTAAACTGTATATGCTTCTCCATCTGAATTTGTGGAGAGACATAGGTTGCCGGGAAGAGGCCTATAATGAATTTGAAGTCTAATTTAGTACATTCTCCAATACCTCTTTCCTTGTTTTGTTTTACACCCAGGCACCATCCAAGACTATCTGGACCCGAAAGAACTTCAATTATCTCACCTTTAAATATTAAAAAGGGGAGTTTTTTGAGAAGTTTTTGATAACCTAAAACTAAGGGTAATTCATCTGGCTCATTTGGATCGAAATTGTAAATGACTTTTGCTGGTCCAATAGGTAATTGCAAATGTTCGACACTCTCTGATGATGTTTTGTATTCAACAGATACATTCCTTTCAATACCTAAACATTCTTAAATTTTCCTCCTTCAAATTATCACTCTACCACAAATATTAAGATCGCTACCACTCCTTATAGGCAAGGGGTCGACTGGAATCGAAGATGTGGAACATGGGGAGTTTCCCTTTAAAGAAGACGGTTCTTCTGCAGATTTGTTTATTTCATGCCGAATTTCACTTGTATATTGAAGTTGTTGGTGCTTAGTTGAAGGATTTACACTTGTTGAACGATTAACACATTTTGAGGATTCTTCACTTCTCGATTCCAGCGAATTAAAAGGCTGTAAAAATAATGGAAAAAATAGTTCTTTTCACTAATTATCTACTAGGGTTGTTCCCTGTCCCCGAAAGTCGGGGAATTTGAGAGATTTTTTGAAAATTCCCCGTCCGCCCCCCTCCCCTAAAGTTCTCCCGTGGCCCTCCCCCTCCCCCCGTCGGGGAACAACCCTATTATTTACTTCTTTTCTGCCTCCATTCTTCAAGTCATTATCGAGAAAAAGCGATTTATCTGGACCAGGAAGTGAGGATTTTTCTGGATCGACCACATTGGATGTTAAATTGTGATGACATCTCGGTTCAGAATTGCATCTTGGATGCTTTAATTCCCCATTCCTATTTTTCCTTATTTCGTTTGTTGTTTGTTCCTCATCTCCCAACAGCACTTTTTTTGTAAGCATAACCCCCGTTGCTTCCTTTTGACGGTGCTTTCTACTTCCAGAACTCGGATTGTGAATTTGTCGGAATTCGGAAGAATATTCCTCAAATTCAGGCCAAACAGTATTACATTCAATCCCGTGTTGGATAGACCATTGCCGTAAATCAAGCTCTATAGAAGCGTCGGTTAATTCTGTAAAGTGTTCCCGCAGTTTGTCTTGTAATTGTAAAAGCCTTTATTTTTTCTTTAAATTTTTCTGATTTAAAGTAAAAATTACTTTTGTGGGCTAATCAAATCCGCCATAATTTTTTGTATACCCGAAAACATTTCTATCATAAATCGAATCCGTTTCCTTTCCATTCGCTGACACTTTTCAAAGACAAAAGACATATTCTCTTTATAAATTCTGTAATATATATTATTTTTTAAAATTTTTTTTGAAGCTTAACCACCCTATATATGCTTTAATATCTGTCAATTGTTGTTCATAAATGCCTTTCGCCTTTTTCCTATCTTCTTGAAATTTTTCAAAACGTTCCTTGCACTTTTCACTTGAGCAGTCCGCGACGTACTGATCCGCTTTGGAATTCACTAAAACGCGAAAGTTGAATAAATTCTGGCAGATTTTAAATACTATATTGAATATAGGCAGATTTTTCGGCACGTGAAAGGGAGTGATAATTCCGTTTGGCAGTTTGTAACCCCTCAAATAATTTCTTCCATTGCTTCTGTGCCTTCTCGAATTCGTCCTCAATCTCTTTAGCTTCTTTAAAACCTCGTAATTTTGATTTGTGATAGTTGTCTCGTTTGAATAATTCTATAGTCTTCAATATCTGAAAGGATAAAAATCCATTTTATTGCTCTTAGGCCCTGACCTGCAGTTTTCGAATCCTTAATAATTTTTAAAACCCGAATATTTCATATGTACATAATTTTGTGCCACTCGATTTCTCCCTCTAATTACCCTCTCTTTATCAATTAGCGAAGGGTTGAAACAATTACCTAGAGTAACTATTCGAGAAGATTAAAGCTTTAATTAAAGCTTTAAATATTGTGTAAAACCCCACCTCATCAATGAAACGTTCTTTTATTCCAAAGTGGACTTTTGCTAATTCCTTTCCTTCTCCTAATATCAAATTAAATGACTTTTTCAGAGATAAAGTCTCCTTAAGGTGCTTTTCAGCATAGGAGCTCCACTCTGAATTCCATTTTTCCAATTGTTTCGAGTAACTAAAAATTTGAGAAATATATGGAATTTAAGAATTCTTAGAAACTTGCCTAGCTTCTATTGCCACCCGGTCTTTAATGAAACGTGTAATGTCTTCTAGTTGTTCATATCCTTGATGAATCCGTGTAATATTTGTCTTGTAGTTCCCTAATTGAATTAATATCTTAATCCCGAATATTAAATAATATTCAACTACCGATTTCCCAGAAGTCGTTATTTACTGTAGAAGTATCGTTTGGAGACATTAAATAAAGATTTTAAATAAATTAAAATTAAATAAAGAGCTGAACTTAACGATTTTTTGAAGATAAGGTTAATAAAAAATGTCAATAAATACAAACAAACAGCAAAAATAATTAGAATTGTCGCATCTTATTTACACATTCATTCCTATGAAATGGTCATCGTAGATAGGGGGTTTATTGGGGATAGATTTGAAAATTGATCGGGGGACTAGGCAAGTAAAAGAGAAGGTTGAGTTAGCAAAAGGAAAAAAATGAAGCGATGAATGAAGGACGTATGAGGGAATGAATGGGAGAGGGGGGAGGGGGGGGGTGTTTTGAGAAATTAATGGGATGGACGGTTTTGGAAGCGGATAGAGCGAAAAAGACGTAATGAGAAAAACAACAAATATTTATTTTTGATTATCCAGCCATTTTCTACTATTTTTAATGGTCAAAAATTTTGCCGGTTTCCGCTCGCAATTTTGCGATTTTTAAATGCCTAAATATGGATATTTTAAAAAAGTATATTTTGTAAACATCGTGCTCTGTGTTTTTATTTTTAAAAATAAATAATCGCCGAGAATTAGTATTTACTCACAACATATAGCTCTGTAATCGTCTTTCATTTAATCCTCAATTATCTTGATTAAAAACATGTATAGGTATATTATGCATAAAAAGTATCGTAATTTTTTTCAAGTTATAAATTCATTCTAATAGCCCGGAGCGGTTCTTGGCACCTCAATAAGGACAATTTAAATTGTTATATTTCAAAAAATTTACCGGACAATGGTCACAACGGCCAAGTTTTCCTGATATTCCGACTTCTCCACGAGGACCTTGTTCCCCATCAGTCCCTGGTTTTCCTGGCAATCCAGTGTCACCAACTAAAAATATGCACATCAAATATTGTATTAACTTAAGAATTCGCGTCCATAAAAATGGACAAATAAATTTAAATTTTTCAAGTTTGTCCACTAAAGATTTTGATCACTAGCATTAATTAAAAATAATTTCCAAACTCATCTTTCTAACAAAGAATTAATTATCATATTTTTACCTTCTCCGGGTTGCCCGTCTTCACCAGGCTTTCCATCTTCACCATTTAGTCCGGGTGCACCTTTATATTTAGGAAATTTTACATTTAACATTAGTAGACTAGCCTGGTAATCCTATCGTTTAAAACAAAAATTTAATTACAATTCGCATTCAAAGAATACCTGGCGGTCCAGGTAATCCTGGAGGTCCAGGAATTGGTAAAGTCTCCCGAAGTATTCCTCTCTCGCCTTGTTTGCCTTTTATTCCGGTGACTCCTAAAATATAAAGAGTTTATGGGTGATTATTTTGATACTTACCCGGCACGCCAGGAAATCCTCTCATGCCCTGCATCCCTGGCATGCCTGGAATACCATCACTGCCTGGAGTTCCATTTATTCCTTCTTAAATTATAACCATTTACATATTACCAGAGAAGGCAAACCTCGTCCTCTTAGTCCTTTAGGTCCTTGTGGTCCTCTTTCTCCTTGAGGACCTTCGTCACAAACAAAACACCAATCCTAGTTTATTAATGGAATGTTATTTATGCGGAAGATTAAGGTTTACTTGCACTGTAAAATCTTGAGACGGATTTTCTTGTTGTCCTGGCAATCCATCATGACCATCCTTTCCATCCACACCGGATAGTCCAGGAACTCCTTTAAAAAGTACCTACATAATTTGAATAAAAACTATGATTTTTATGGCCGATATTTTCTTTAGCCGGCCAAAAAGTAAAATTGAAAATCACGACTATACTGGATATCCCCATTTCTATCCGTCCATTAAAAATTTTTCTAATTAATTACCAATGCTGCCAATTCCACACGCACAGCATGTCACTGCCTCCTCCGAAATTTGGATTGCTTCTCTCTTTCCTATGTTCTTTGCCAACTAATTGAGTAAATTTAATTAAATTCTGGAGAAAGGTGGCAAATAATCAGTTAATATTTTTAATTAACAAGAATTTATAAAATTAATCTTCCAATTCACCTTGATTTTGCCTATTTCCTTCCAAAAATTTGATATCCTTATCCTGCACAATTGCAATTCTTCATGCCCCACAATATGCACATTTTGGATTTTATAATGCAGAAAAGGTACTACGAATACCAACAGCAAAGTTGTTGAAAGGGAAAAGGAAACACAGACAATGGCCAATTGCCGCATTATCGTCAATTTATCTCTCATTTGATTAAATTTATAATGGGGATTTTAAAGAAATTTTAGAAACATCAAATGCATTTATGTGTAAAAATTGAATGAATAAAAGGATGCCCTATATTTACTAAAATTTCATTGGATTATGTAAGAGAATTCGTCTAAAAACTCTCTCAAAAATTTATTCAACACAAGTCACTTTATTTAAGTCCTTCACCCGATTTTTCAACTTGTGAAATAAAAATTAATAAATACAAAAACATAATAATCTTTGCTCTGATTAAATTCGGCTCTTTACTCTCGATAAAATTTCTTCTAAAAATTTTATTTCCTCTGTGCAATAAAGCACAATAAACATCCAATACACCCACACAATGAAAGTAATCCCAGAATGATTAAAGCCAACCTTAAGTTGAAAAATCTTTATTATACCAACACTATTGAAAGACTAACATTAACCAAGGTTCCAACTGAAGACAGCACTCTGTCGGGTTGTAGTCACAACAAATGTAGTAATGAAATAAAGAACCAGTTCCGCAACTGCAAAATTTATGTTGATTTAAGTTTTGACGTGAATTTTTTTATTAATCTCATTTATGTACGTACTCATTCATATATTCATGTACTCATTCATGTACGTCCAGGACATTGGATTCTCAATATTATTAACTTCGATTTAATAATCTCTCGATACATCGAACCTTTTCCTTTTGAGTTCGTTATGAGATAAGATAATAACCGTACTAATTGATTCCATAAGGAGGTATGTAGATCGTCGGTGCCAGAGTGATAGGACATCTGTAAACAAATCCTGATGTTTGTCCAAAATATGCCAACACTGGAAGAATCAAAAACGAAAAAAGGACAAAAAAGCCCATAAAATATAAATCGAATGTAGGCATTCTTTTACAGAGAATCGTTACTTTAATGTTAATGATCAATGTAACTAACAATAAAATAGGCAATAAACTGGTAACGCATTTTAGAATGAAGAAAGTTTATGAAAAGGGATTTTTGCTATGTAATTTTATTAATATACGATTTAATATTTTAAAATGGATGAGGTAATATCGAGAGCTGGATCGAGAAAATAAAACACTTGACATAATTCAAATGTGAGAATTATTGCAATATTTGGAGTTGCCTTAAGAATTACTTCGTTATGCGAGAGAGTCCAAAATCAATTTCCAATGTATTTTAGGAATAAACTTAGAGAAAGTAAAAGTTGAAGGAAAATTTTTTTTTATAATCAAGGATTATATTTTAAATTTGATATCATAAATTTTAACAAAAGGTAAAAATTTGCTAATAAGGCAATATTGGTATACTGTATATCCGCAGGTGAAAAATCCGCAATTAAAAAGTCCGCAAGAAAGTGTCGAATTGTCAAATTTACAGTTGGCGAAATGTGTTTTTTTTTAGTTTTTTCTTAATTCCTTAAATATTTTTTTCCAATTTTGTTTTAAAAATTTATTCACTCAGGATTTATTGGAATAACCAACTTTACATTACTTTTTTAAACTAATTTTTCTCTACTAATTATGCAGAATCCAGAGAATATTTCTAATCCTCATCAAGCTCTTTATGAAGATTTATTTTCGAAGGTTTTTAACAAATTTATATTTTCTAAGCATTTCATTTCTGCAATTTAATGGATAAGGAGGAAGAAAACACTTGACATACATTTGCTTCTTGCTTACCTTTTTTCTTAATTTTTGTTAATTTTCAGTTGAATCCAATGGGCAAAGAGGAAATCGATTCCGCCAGTATTGCCGCTTTTTTAAGAACTGCTAAAGATGTTAATACGGCGCAGCTTTCTCAGGTTTTAACTCGATCAAACATTAATTCTTTGAACATTAAATTAGATTTGGGAAGCAGCTTGTGAATCGAGTGGCTTTGTAAATCGTGGATTTCTGAACAAATTGGGCATTTTTATGTGTTTTAAGGTATTTTGTTTTAAATTTAAGTGCATTTTTGCACTTTTACAAATCTTATAAAAAGATTTTTGTCTAAATTAGGGTCGTAATTAGAGACCGGCGCGGGGCGGGATTTTCCGGGATCCCGGATTTTTTCGGGATTTATTCTCCGAGATCCCGTACCGGCATCGGCTAAGAAAAGAATCCCGACTCGGGATCCCGTGCGATTTTGCCGGTCTCTAGTCGTGATAGGACGACAATTTACTAGAAATATTTTTAATAAAAATATATTTTTAAGCTTGTGGCTGCTGTTCAACAAGGTCAGATAAATTTTTGATTAAATTTTAATACTACTTCCACATTAGGCTTTCAAATTTCACCTGAAATTTTGTGTAACCCATCCCTTGAACTTCCTCGATTCGAAATTGCATCTGGTTATAATTTGCTTTCCCGACAACAGAGTACCACGTCTGCTTTAGCAGAAGAAAATTGGGCCATCGGCTTAAATGATCTGCAAAAATATGAGGCTATATTTAACAGTCTTGGCCCTGTTGATGGGCGTTTAAGTGGAAATCAATGTCGACCAGTGCTTTTGAACTCACAACTGCCTAAGGGAATACTGGCGAAGGTACGGGTTTATGTGGTCACATTTTTAATTTTTTATAATATTAAGATTTGGGATTTGGCTGACATTGATGCCGACGGATTTTTAGATAAACCAGAATTTTGTGTGGCGCTTCATTTAGTTTACAGATCATTACAAAATGATCCGATGCCTGAGAGACTTCCTCTTGCGCTTGTTCCACCAGAAAAGCGAATGTTATCACGTCAAATGTGTCCTCGGTCAGATGATCTCCCCTCAACACATCCACCTCGTATGCTACAATTTTGTTTAAAAATTAATTTTAAACCATAGCGTTTTTTGTTAAGTCTTGATCGATTAATTTTTATAGCGCTAGCATGGAGTTCCCGAGCTTCAAGTGTTGCATCTCTTAATATACAACAACAACCGTCTCATAGTCCACCTACAACCAAAAATAATATACCAAAATCTCTATTCGAGCGAAATGTGGAGGAATGGCGTGTTGAGGATTTGAGCCAATTTGAATTGGAATTTTCTGATTTGGATAAGGACCATGATGGATTTGTTGGCGGGAACGATGTCCGGGATGCATTTCTTAGGCAAGTTTATTTTCATCCTGTAGTGGTCAAAATTTAACATTTAGATTTGGGCTGTCACAAGCCAATCTTGCACGGATTTGGGCGCATGTAGACGTCCAAAAGTCAGGTCGTCTCGATCTTGAGCAGTACGCTAAATGTATTCTTTTGATTCGTGAATGTCAAGAAGGGCTGACTTCAAAGATAAGCATGTCGATAGCTTCGCCCGCGCCGCCTATGACTTTGACACGAAGAGACTCACAAATTTCAACCAATTCTGTTTGTTTTATAACATCCTCTGCGAATTTGGTCGAATATATTTTGTTTGTTTTTAGGGCTCAGGAATTCGCCCTCTAATGCCAGAAAACCCTCGAGTACAAGAATTAACTGCTTCTATCGAAAGTATGCAGCAGAAAAGAAGAAAAGCTGAAGAGGATCTTTTTCAGGTTTAAATGTTTAATTTAACCTTGCTATTAATTTTAATATTTTTTAGGCGGAGGCAGATCTGAAAGTGAAGAATTCTGAAGTGAAAAACCTGGAAATTGAATTGGTTCTTTTTTAAACTAACTTTTAAAAAATAAGAGAAACTTCTGTTCAATTCCACTATAAGTTGACTAAAATTTAGTTAACTCTCGAAGCGACTGTTAAGCAATTACGTGTTCAGAGAGTTGAGGCCAACAAACGGCTAAACGATTTAGATACCCGTGTGGCAAAGTTAGAGACTGTCTGTAGTGAGAGTCAGAACCGTCTAGAAGAAGAAGAATCTCGACTTCAAAAAACAAAAGCAGATATTCTGCAAGCTCGAGAGAATTCTGGCCAAGAGGACATTGTCCTCGAGCAAATAAGAGCTGAGGCACAGAAACGAAATGAGAGATTAGTAGGAGCCAAAACAGCTTTAGAACAACAAAATACGAAATTTGTGGCTTTTGTTGATGAATTAACACAAGTAAATATTTCTGTTAACTACATATTAGCCTGGTTATTCTTTTAGTTGGAGCGAAAAATGGCTTGTCAAGAAACTGAGAGTGGTCGTCTTAAGGAACAGATGGAACAAATGCGTCATATTCTTGAGGGAGTAGATGCTAATGATGAGAATTCCATGAAAGAACTGCTAGAAAAAACGTTTAAGGAGGTGAAAATAACGCTTTTATGTAACATAATAATTTTAACTTTTAAGAGTTTGGCAGCTGCAAATGGGTTACCACTTACTGGAAATACTTTTATGGATCCTTTTAAAAACGGTTACTTTAAAACAACAAAATACGTATTCTTTCTTTTAATTAGGTGATCCTTTTATGCCAAGCAATGTATCTGGAACAGGCCCATTTGAAAGTGTTGGCAGTGATCCATTTGTATCAAAATCAAAGGAAGGAAAAACAAATACTAACAATTTCGCTAATTTTGCAAAGTTTACAAATTCGTGAAAAAATAACTCCAAAAAATCCCAAACAATTTTAATTCTCTACCCTTTTTGCATCCGATTTTTTGCTTTATATCAGGGCTCGGATTTTACTCAAATTTCAGCATTTTACTCAAAAATCCGCAAACTTGTTGGCTTCAATACCAAAAATTCACTTTTTCTGCGCCGCAGGCGAAAATTTTGAGGAAAAATCCGAGCCCTGCTTTATATCGATTTTTAAAAATTCCAACTTTTCTCTTTTCTTTTAAATTTTGTGATTGTTTTGTATACCCTTTATTTTCTAATAAAAATTTAACTTTCAAAATATATTCATAAAATTTCCGAGGTTCATTTTTATGACCTTAAATATTTAATTCCGGCTTTGTAAAATTTTTTTATAAATTTAGACCTAATAAACCTTAATAAATTTCTTCATATTATCACCTGAAAATGTTCAAAATTGGAGGTATTCAGCCTGTGGACGAGAATGACGCACAAAGGAAAGAAAATTTGGAAGCACGGAATGCTGCAAAAGGACAAAGACGCGCTGCTTTAATTGAAAGGAAACCAAACGTTCGACAATTGACACATAAAACTTCTTCAAAACCAGTAACTTTTACCTTTTATTTTTTAAATTTTAATTATTTTATTTCAAAGGATGACTTGGAAAAATTTGCCACTTCGCATGTACGTTTTGGTGGAAGTGATGTTATGATACCAGTTGAGGTTGCTGAGGATATTGACAATTATATGCGACACCTTGAGGTTATTTACGCTGTGCCTGAAGACTTTTTGAGGAATATCAAGTCGCCGATTCATGGCAGAATGCGTCAAATTCTTGCTGATTGGCTGTACCATGTAATCATTTTTATTTTTATTAACTTTAAAAAATAAATATCAGGTCCAAAGTCGCTTCACCCTGCTCAATGAGACTCTTAGCTTGTCTATCAACTTGATGGATCGATCTCTACTGGCAATGAATGGTTCCATAACTAAAACGAATTTGCAATTGCTAGGAGTGACTTGTCTGTTTATCTCTTCAAAATTCGAGGAAATAACAGTTCCAAATGTTGAGGACTTTGTGATTGTTGCTGGTTCTGTTTTCAATAAGGAGGATATTTTTCATATGGAGATGAAGGTTTTTCTTGTGACCTTATAATTGGTTGTCAATGTTTAATGAACAACTTTCGATTATTTACTAAGGGCATATCCCGGGGAGCTAGAGCCCCCCCCCCCTCTCCCGAAACCGATCTACTGGATACGCCTTTGTAATTTACGCAGTTGAGGTCATTATTTGTATAAAGTTCTGTTTAACAAAACGTGGTAAAAACAAATTTTATCCCAGGTTTAGAGAAATTTCTGATTTCGCCTATAATTACGATTATAATCGGCAGGCAGGCTCTATAAATTTTAACCTGTCAGGGATTTATTTTTTTAATTTCCATTTCTCTTCCCATAACTTTTTTTTTCAGATTTTGAGCGCATTGGACTTTAATCTTGGAGCGCCACATTCTTTGCAATTTCTTCGTCGTTATCGCTTTTATGTTGAGCCAGATAGTCGGACTTATCAATTTGCAAAATATATTTGTGAAGTAGCTTCTGTTTGTTATAGCCTGGCTCATTATTTGCCTTCAACTGTGGCCGCAACTGCCATCTGGTTAGCTTCTTATACTTTTGGTCGCACTCTTGTGTCCAATTTTCTTTTTGACCAAGTTTTCAAGTTAGATCAGGCGACTTTGTTTTCAACGGCACGTTTATTTGTTGACCATGTATTAATTTTTTTTCTGAACTAAAATTAATTTTTTAAAAATTTAGGTAATTAATTTTGCCAATCCCGACGAAGACAAAATTTATGCATTGCGAGAGAAATACCAGGAATTGGTGCTTGATGAATTTACGACCGAGCATATCAGCAAACTTAATGATTTCTTTGACTATGGTTACGAATATTCAGGGTTGTCCAACTCTTCGACTTATTCTGCGCGTGCGATTTTAGAGAAATAAACGGAAGGATATAGAACTATAGAGAGGTTTTTATATGATTAATTAATAATACCTCCATTTAATCCACCCATTTTGACCTCTGTGATGCTCTTCGGTCTTTCTTAAATGTTTGATCTTTGCGCATTTAATTTACACGAAAACTTTAATGTTTCCCTCACTATAACTCTCAATATAATGCATTTTCCAGTTTTATTTTTGCGTCTTTTATTTACTTATTTTTCTTAAACTAATTTGAAGGATAAACACGTAAATTAATTTTTATTAAATTGACCATTTTCCAATTTCTAGGTGTCAATATTATGTATTGGCTTTATTAAATTATAGGGAGACTTACTTTTTAGTTATACATTAATTTATCGTTAACAACGATTAGTTGAAAAAAAACCTTTTAACTTTCAAGACTCATTGGAGTTTTAGATGTAGTTACTAGTATGTTCTTTAGGGATATTTCTTTGTTAAATATTCTGGAGATCAGTCTGATAGGTCTAATTCCGATATTGATGTATGGCCTTTTTAGACCCAAAGCTTTTTTTGGGTTGTGATCTCTTTGGATTTTCCGCATGCATTGTTTTATTTTCATTATTGTAAGAATAAAATTTTAAATTAAAAAATATTTTAAATCAAATTGTTTTTGTTGTCAACATTAGTTATTTTTTATTTACTGTTTTTCTAACTTTATAAAATTTATTTTATTTTCAGATGAATTTATTTCTTTTTCAAAAATTTAATAAAAATTTTGTTTTTCAAATATCTCGTCAAATGTGTATTGCCAAATCAACTTCAATGCCTTCTACTTCTTATAATAAACCAATACCTTTCAAGTCAATTTCTACTGATGATTTGGGGTTTTCTTTTTTAAACCAAGATGCAAATAAACAATTAAGAAAAACTGTGTTGTTTGCTAAGGTTAAAATTTTTTGAAATAAGGTGATGGAAAATTGGGGATTGTTCCTTCCATGCTAAATTTTCTATTTCCATCTTTATAGCAGACTAGGACATGGATACTGATTTTGCTATCCGGATATATCCGTGGGGTCAATATCCGTTTGTATCCTTCCAACTTTTGAGTCATATCCATCCGCGGATTTGGAGCATCATATTCATATCCATCCGTATCCGTCCAATTTAAAAAACATTATCCAAATCCGTCCGTATCCGCGGATATCCTCGGGTATCCGGATATTATCCGTATCCATGACCATGCCTGATTTATAGGCCTTAGGTAAGGGATCTTATCCAAAAAAGCGTAAGCTCTTGGAGATCCTAATATTTTGTCTATATACTAACTGGAAATGCATTTTCCTCATACCAGAAAATTCTCAAAACAATAAAATTGACAAAAGAAATAAGTAAATTATTCACAAATTTTCAGTTTGCCTCACTTGCAAGTTCTACATTGGGTATTTTTAAAATAATTTTAATATTTAACTTTCCAACTTTCCAGGCCTTTGTTTTATTCCAATTATAAGCTCCTCCTTTGTTGAAGTAATGGCAGAAAGACCTGGCTTAGCTGCTTTTATGGTGTTGACTGATACTTTTTTATTATTCTTTGCTTGTACACCATTTTTGTTGCATTTTTTAACTAAACGTTTTGTTGCCGATATATATTATAATCCAAAAACTAAAGTAAGAAAAAATCTATTTTTAATTATAAAGGTTTATTTTTAAGGTGTTTACAACTGTTCATTATAATTTTATTTTGAGGAAGAAAGCTTTGAGGTTTACAGCGGATGAAGTGGTAAATAAATATTTATAGGACTTTAGATGAAATAGGACATTAAATTAATTTATTTTGGGTGATTTTTGTGTTTTGGGAGGGACCTGACCATTTTGGATTTTTATAATTTTTCTTTTAATATTTAAGGTTGATGCTGCAAATGATGTGGAGAAAAATAAATTTTCTTTTCAATTTGCTACATGTTCAGTTAGATCTTACCCAATATTGCTTCTGCTAGAAGAGGATTTTTATACAGACCCAGAAGTTTTTAAATTGTTGACAAAAGGTTTTAAATCATTAGACTTGGTAAAATCAAAATGAAAGGAATGTTTTGTTAAATTGCTAAAAATACCATTTATCGGTCTCAGTTCCGACTTTTGGAGATACGGCTAGGGTTCTTAGGTCGTTTCGAGTTCCTATACTAGGCAACGGAACTTTTTTGAATTTTGGAGCTCAAGAAGCTTGGTTTCTTCCATTTTCAGCGTCGCAGGCGAAAAATTTTTAATTTTGGAGGTTGTAGGCGAAAAAATTGCATTTTTTCGATCATCTTTCTAACAATAATTTCCCTTAGCTCCCTCAGTCCCCAGGCTACGCCCTAATGGGGAACAGGCTACGCCCTAATGGGAACATCCTAGGGGAACACATTATCCTAAAATATATGTTGGATAAATCCATAAGGCTAACCATTGCAATTGAGTGTATCTTCTGTTTTTCTTGATGATTTTATTTTAAAATATTTTTGAACCAAGTTAAGGTGATTCTCGTTCGATCTGGCCATTTTCTGGGGCACACACTTCTTGATCATGGAAAAAAGACAATATGGACGTTGAAAGAAAAAGAAGTCTTGTTAACACTTCTATTGGCTGGAAAGGCATCAGAAGTGTACTTTCTCAAGGAAGCATCATCATTAGGAGAGGATGATTTCGCGAAAGTAAAACAAATTGCGAATTCATTAGTTAAATTTTTTATGTTTTAATAAGTTTTTACCAATTTTTACAGTTTTCACAACAAATGCTGTCCGATAATTTTTCGTGGGTAGTCGAAAATTGTACAAACTCAACGAAAGAAGAAAAGGATCGAGAAATTATCAATTTATGTAACAAATGTTATGATTAGAGACCGGATATTTATGCATTAAAAAATGCAAAATATGCACTATAATATGCATAAAAAATTGACAAAATATGCACAAAAATATGCAAATAAACTAAAATATTCACGAAATTATGCAGCAAAAATACATTTTTTACATGAATTTTTAATTTTTTTGAATCAAGATTACTCTAATAGGTAATCAAGATTACCTAGATTACTCTCATTTTAAATGTATAGTTCGATAAATTGAGTATTCTTAATCTATTGGACATTTTAAGATGAGACGTTTTGGTGGTGGGACATTTTGGGATAGGACGTTTTGGGCGATGACATTATGGGTATGGGACATTTTTGGGTCCCGCCCAAAAACAAAAAATTTTTTTTTACAGAATTTGTAATTTTTACAAATTTTTTCCTAAATTTTTACTAAATTTTCAATTTTTGTCAGGATTTTGGGCAATTTTCGTCTTATTTTCCTCAAAAACCTTAAAATATGCAGTAAAATATGCATTATGCAGCAAGGTCCGGAATATGCAAAAATATGCATTATATGCAAATAGAAACCCCCTCTAGAGTTTTCAAAACAAGCTAAAACAGTGTTTTTTGTGCATTATACATCATTCCAAGTTTGCAAAAAAAATATGCATTTGCATAAAAATCCGGTCTCTAGTTATGATGATGCTTTCAATTTAGTTAAGAATAATTCTACAGCTATTATACCTTTTCAATTGCTGTAGCATTATTCTTAACTAAATTGAAAGCATCATCATATCATTTCTTGCATAAATTGATAATTTCTCGATCCTTTTCTTCTTTCGTTGAGTTTGAACAATTTTCGACTACCCACGAAAAATTATCGGACAGCATTTGTTATGAAAACTGTAAAAATTGGTAAAAACTTATTAAAACATAAAAAATTTAACTAATGAATTGGCAATTTGTTTTACTTTCGCAAAATCATCTTCTCCCAGTGAAGATGGTTCTTTGAGAAAGTACACTTCTGATGCCTTTCCAGCCAATAGAAGTGTTAACAAGACTTCTTTTTCTTTCAACGTCTATATTGTCTTTTTTTGTGCCCCAGAAAATGGCCAGATCGAACGAGAATTACCTTAACTTGGTTCAAAAATATTTTAAAATAAAATCATCAAGAAAACAAGAAGATACACTCAATTGCAATGGTTAGCCTTATGGATTTATCCAACATATATTTTAGGATAATGTGTTCCCCAAGGGCGTAACCTGTGAGCTGAGGGATCTAAGGGAGGTGGATGAGGGAGCTAAGGCTAAGGGAAAAATATGATCGAAAAAATGAATTTTTCTAGGGACAAGGCACCTAACACTCTAAAATCGAAATTAAAAATATGGTATTTTATTTATATTCTCTCATTTGTTAATTTTTTTGTTAATTTCTGTATTTAATGTTTATTTGGATTAACAATTTTGTCAAGTGATGATTTTTCAGTTAAAAATAAACATTCATTTGGCAATTTTTCTTTAACAATTTTTCGCAGTCCTCTGCCACCTTTTTTAATAAAATTGGCTAATTGATAAAAAGGTCGAAGAAGTCCATCCTTAATTTTTAAAGAAAATATTTAAATTTAGCCTATTAAGAATTCAAAAGTCAAAGTAGGGAAAAATATGTAGTGGCATAGTTACCGTGATAACACCGCCAGCTCTTGGACAAGTTTTGTTTAATTCCTCACGAAAGCATGGAAGGAAGCAATTGGAGGCGCTATTGATAAAAAAATAAATTTTAATTGGCTAAAACTGTTAAGAATTTTAAATGAAAATTTTATTCTTTCATTCAAACATCTCGGGGTAAAAATCTAATTTTGGTAAATAAATCACAGTCGGGTCCCACATATACTATGCCTCTCATTCAGAGAAATACGGCATCAATGTGAGAAAGTTGTATAAGTGACTTCTAATTTTTTGTGTGTTACTTTTTGGACCGAAAAAATTCGTTAATTAGTTTCTTTGTACAAGAGAGATCCAACTTTAGAAACCCCCCAACTTTTTCCAATTCTATACAACTAGCCTGCAAATCCCTCCCATATGTGAAAGAAGTTCAAGAGCATGAGCAATACTATGCCCTTTCAAATCTTGTCTGTGAGAGAATTCAGCAATTGAATTAAGTAAATGACATTTTTGTTCACATTTTTGATTTAAATTATCCAAATTTTGACGT